AGAAGTTGAGATTTAGAAAAATTCTTGAGAGAAATGGCTGGACCAAGCAGGAGAGACCTTGAGAGTGTCTTCTATCAATATAGCACTAAATTAGGATTAGAAGAAAAAATGGGTAGCATATTTTACCTTGAATGGAAGTAAAATAATGAAAGGGAGGAAATACTGACAGAATAATTGCCCAAAGGCTGTAGTGGTGAGGTCCAATTAAGCAGTGGGCAGGGAATGGCCAGACGTCACAGGGTCTGCACAGGTATGATAAACAACCTCAGCAGTGTCTACACCCAATAAAGCTTTTTTAGTGATACTGGGATATACAGCACTACTCAACAGCAGCTGTATAGCTCTAGCATTTTCATTAACTATTCATAAAGTAAAGAGAAATGGGGGATAAACTTAAGGGGACTGAGCAAAGACTCTCCCGTTTTTCTACATTATTTGAATTATCTGGAAAGATTCAAGCAGGAACAAGCAGCCAGTTTAATTGCTGTGATTTTTCCCACAATTGGTACCTCAAAGTCTGGATGCTCAGCAAATCTGATTTTTTAAAAAATTTTGAGTATACCAAGTGCTTCAAGGCAAGCACTTGATATTACTACTATCTGTTCTGGAATTTAAGGAGTTGATTAACTCATTTAAAACTGACCATAAGTGGAATAGAAAAAGAGTTTGTAGAAACTAGTGCTAGTCTCCAGGTACTAAGCAAAGCAAACCAGCCTGGGTGGATGAAAGTTATGCAATGTAAAGACTTTCTGAATCCTTGGCACACATGGAAAGTGTAATACACGATTTCTGAAAGAAGTCGAGTGTGCTTCCTATTAGCTGAGAGGAAAAATGCCTTGAACAGTCATGTTCAAAGCGCTCATTGGAATAACTGTAATTTACATGTAGGAATACTGGATAAGTACTTGTTGGACAAGAATCAGGAGAACTTTGAGAGTATGACAAAGTGAGATTATGGATTTGGTATTGCCACAATGTTCCTTCAGGTGGGCATGTAATAGTAAACCTCCCACAGACCTGAAGCAAAGCTCGCACAATTAGTAGTAAATCTCCCATAGATTTGAATGCAGACTGCAGATTAGTAGGTGGTAAAGGAGCAAATCTCAGTTTAAAAAAACAATTCAAGAAGCATGTCACTGAAAATATATGATTACATGACAGGTCAGCACAAGTTGTGAGTATATGCATGGATCTGTGTCTGTAAATGTGCAAGCTTTTCTCAAACTTTGGGAAGAGAGGGGTAAAATCTTTTGAGAAGTCAACGAGGTCTTGACTTGTAAAGTAGCAGTAGACTTTTCATCCTCTACTGGGAAGATTACCAGATCAGTTTTTATTTATACTCATAGGACTCAGTTCAACATAGAGTACCACTGGCTACAAATTTTTGGTACTCTGGAATTAAAAAATGAATGAAAATAACCTAAGGCAGTAACCAGTTCCTTCATGTGCTACTCAGAGGATGAGAGAGTGCTATAAAATGATCAGAGAACAGCCTCATCAGGCAAGATTCCTTCCAATCTCCATCCCTTTGCTGCTAACGTAGATTATTTCTGGCCACTTTGCCGTCATGCCATGTGTCCTGCAGAGAGAAAAGTCCCCTCTGTTGCCATAGCAAAAGGCAGAATTCAGAGTGGCTTGTTCTGGACTTTTCTACCCCTACATGTCCAAGGCAAATCTTTACAGGATAAAAAGCTGTCTGGAAGTGATAATGGGATTGAAACTCATTTCTCAACACACCCCTAAAACACATTACTCAACTCTGGCAATGACAATAGAAGCACCAGTTGGCTATATTCTGTATTCCAACACACACACACACACACACGCACTCATACATGTCCTATAATATCCTGCAGCATCTTGCACAAACTGTAGGCTCCCTTCTCACTGAAGCCAGACTGCCAGTCAGAGAGGGACCTGGGGTGTTGATTGACAGCCGGCTGAACAGGAGCCAGCAGTGTGCCCAGGGGGCCAAGAAGGCCAATGGCATCCTGGCTTGTGTCAGCAATAGCGTGGCCAGCAGGGACAGGGAAGGGATCTTACTCAGCACTGCTCAGACCGCACCTTGATTTCTGTGTTCAGTTTTGGGCCCCTCACTACAAAAAAGACATTGAATGACTCGAGCGTGTCCAGAGAAGGGCTACAAAGCTGGTCAAGGGTCTGGAGCACAGGTCGTACGAGGAGCAGCTGAGGGAACTGGGGGTGTTTAGTCTGGAGAAGAGGAGGCTGAGGGAAGACCTTATCACCCTCTATAGCTACCTGAAAGGAAGCTGCAGAGAGCTGGGTTTGAGCCTCTTTAGCCTAGTAGAAAGCGACAGGACAAGAGGGAATGGCCTCAAGTTGTGCCAGGGAAAGTTTAGACTGGATATATGAAGCATTTCTTTCCAAAACGGGTTGTTAGATGTTGGAATGAGCTGCCCAGGGAGGTGGTGGAGTCCCCATCCCTGGAGGTCTTTAAGAGTCAGGTCGATTTAGAGCTTAAGGATATGCTGTAGGTGGGAACTGTGCTAGGTGAACGGTTTGACTAGATGATCTCCAGGGTCCTTTTCAACCCAGATGATTCTGTGATTCTGTGAAGGTCTCACTGGGTTGGCTCTGTGTCCTCCATACACATCGCCTAACGCTCTGCCTTTAAGGTGCTCTCACACCACAGAGATGGTACTAGTCTACCTCTGAAAGTAGAGGGAGCTGGAAAAGGACCTGGGATCTTGACACTCTGAAATAGGGAATGAATAAAAAAAAGGTGATAAAACTAAAGACTTTTTAAACTATCATCGGCTATCTGTATATACATAAATACAACAGAGAAGCTACTGATTCATCACTATGCAATATTTAATTATGAGTATGCTATCTGGAAGAAGTTTAGACTATGCCAACTGGTATTTTTCTAGATGGTTCCTGGATATTGGTCATTGGTCCCATGTGAAGCAGGAGTCTAGTCAAAATTACCTTCTGAAGCCAACAGTTCTATGGATGTTTTGGGAGACAGTGTGTGCCAAAATCATATTCAATGAGAAGCTGTGATGTAGCCACCCTGTTTCAAAGTAAGAGGCAGTCCCCACACGGAGGCTGTATAGATGTAGTCACTGAGACAACAAAACGCGGATATTGTAAAGTGAAAAAAAATCACATTCAGTTCTAGACTGCAGGCAAGCCCTACTGAAACAGTATAAACAGGGTCTTAGCTACAAGGGGCAGATCATCCAGACTTGCAGGTGTGGCTCCCTGCCTGGAGGTGCTCTTTGCTCTTCCAGCTGTGGCATTTTGAAGATGCCAAGAAAGTCTTCCAAAGTTGAAACAGTGCAAATAGTAGGGAAATTTAGCTTTGTACGGGGCATGCTGTAGCGCCTAACCAGAATGGCTGTAAAAGGGAGAACTGCATATGACATAATATGGAAGATAAGCCCTACTGCAGGAAGAACTATTCTGAAATACCTAAAGTGATCATAATCACTATAATGAGGCACCTATTAAAAAGTTGTTACTAAGTATGGTTGTACTATCAGTAGATTCAGAAAGTAACACTAAACTATTTCATTATGGCTACAGCTGGTAGTAATTAAAAATGCAATTTTGCTTGAGAAGTCAAGAAAGGCAGCAAAGACAAGGAAAACCTCCAAGAAGGGTATCAGCCTGTGATCTTGATTTTTACAGTACTATCACAGTTCCTCATATGTAAGTAAAAAAATCTTCTGCCTTAAGGTGTTACAGTTTAAAAGAATTCTTTAAAGACAGCTATGGGAAAAATAAAATTAGGGGAAGCTAAGACACATGCTCTTGGTACATTATACTATTTGAGAGACCAACTTCTTCCAACAATAGCTCACTCAGCTTTTGCTTGTTCAGATTTGTTATCCTTTTCATGTTACCCAGGACAGGTCCAGCATCTGTTAGGGAACAGAGGTTATTAAGTTAATATCCACCATGAGTTAGGAAACACTTTCCAAGTGACAACTCTCCAGATCTTCTACTTTGCACCTCTCAGGCCCTACCACCCTTTTTACCCTTCAGAGGCAGTAAGTGGCTCTGACCCAGAGCTTTGCAACAAATTTACTCTCACTTTTGTGCAAAGATGAATCCTTCTGTCTACAAGACCAATTTGCCGGAGCACGTCATTAGAATCTGTCATTTGATCATGAGCGTGCTCTCTGCTCTCTGCATGAAATAAGTATTTTAGCTGAAATTCCTTGCCCTGTATTCACTGCTGAGCCTGGGCCTCCTGGGCAGCGGTGAGGTTACTGGCAGTGAGGTGGCAGGTGTGCTCTGGCGTGTGACTCACCTCGGTGGCACGCAGGTAGTGTCTGGGTGTGTGGGCATGGCGTCAGCCAAACCCTGGCGCCCTTGGGGCTGTCTGCAGGGGAGCTCAGAGGGAAGGTGTAATGCCTTACATTTAGAGCATTAAAAGGAGACACAAGCAGTAGATTTTGTTCCCAGACTTTTCCTATAAACTGCAGGGCTGAGTGCTGGTGTCTAAACTATGAAGGTGGCATATGAACAGATTTTCCTTTTCACAGAGCTCGGGGTGTCCATCAGGGACAAGGTTATCACATCAGCAATTAAAAGCAAATGCACAAACCCCCTCCTGCCCAGTTACCCTGCTACTGTGGCAGGATGCAGTTTTCCACAGGGAACGGCCGCACTTCCTCTCCCCAGCTGGAAGCCGAGCCTGCGTCAGGCGTCCCTCACTGATCTCCCACCTCTGGTCTCTCACCACAAGTAGACCCAGTTAAGGATTTTGGCTTTTCTAGGCCAATCTTCCATGTCAAAGAAGTTGTGGCTTGATTTTATTTTAATTTTTTGTCACTCTCTGGTGGAACCACCCGGGCTGTTGTGGGACTGAGCTTTCCCCTCGCAAAACTCGCAGTCACTGCCAGTCCCTCCTGCGGAAGCCACGCTGAGTCCCGGCTGCGGGCTGAACCCCCTCCGTGGTGTTTAGTGACCTCCCCCCGTGAGGCTCTTAAATCCAGGCGGGCTGAGTCACCGGGATGACAGCATCAAGAGAGAATCATGTAGCAGAACTCCGTGACATCCATTTAATAATTTGCTGTCTTTAATGAAACTGGATAATTACAGGTAAAGCTACTGTCTATGGCATCACTGCCACTTTTTTTTTTTTGTATTATTGCTGATATTATTAACTTTTCAGCGGTGGTGATGAGCCTGCTGTTCGGTGAAGAAAACCACCCTGTAAACAAGGCTCCGCTCCGGGGGGGCGGCGCGATGGCGAGGGCCCGGGCCGGTT